AAAAAAAAAAAAAAAAAAAAAAGATTACAAATATAAATAGAAATTTAGCTAATTACAAATAATATTTAATTGATAAAATATATAATACAAGATAATATAAACAAGTAAGAATATATAAAACTACTATCAATAAAATTTACCGATTAAAATGAGCTAAGCATGATTTGTCATCATAATAATATTTAAATACGTTGTCTTTAAAGGCCTTAAGTGTATTAGACTTTTTTAATTCAGGCTTTAACTGATTCCATAATTTTATGGCAGAAACTAGAAAAGTTTTCCCTCCTTCTCTAGCCCTTTTAAACTTAGGTAATAAAAAGTTGTATTTACAAAATCTAGTGTTGCGTGAATGTACTGAACTTAATAATCTTAAGCTATCATTAAGATAATTAGGTACACAATAATTAATCCTTTTAAATAGTATTGAACATTTAGCTATCTTAGTAGAGTTATAAAATGGTATCCACTTTAAACGATTGAATAGCATAACTGATGAACTACGTGGTTCAGCATCTAATAAAACCCTAGCAGCTCTCTTTTGTAGCCTAAGTATTCTTAAAAGAGATTCATTAGAGCAAAGTGACTGCCATGCAACATTGGCATAATCAAATAATGGCTTAATCAAACTATTATAAAATAAAAGTCTTTGGTTAAATGGTAAACAAAGTTTGATCTTATTCAAAATTCCAATTCTTTGTGAAATTTTTTTGCACAGTCTGTCAACATAAGTGTTCATTGATAAATCGTGGTCAATGTCTATACCAAGAAGTTTAGCTGAGGGTACTTGTTCCAATGATACACCATTCATAGTTTTAAGAGATAAATTATAACCATCTGGAAGTTTCTTCCCAAGGCGTTTGCCTGTGACCAGTAGTGTTTTAGTCTTTTTTTCATTGAGAGGAAGTTTATTGGTGTGCGTCCAGCATTCAATTTCCTTCAAAGAAGCAGCTAGTGAATCTTGTAGAGAATCAACCGCTGAGATATCTGCCGATAATGTCAGTGTGGTGTCATCAGCATAGAGATCCAGGTCAGCACCATTAACATGTAGAGGCAAATCATTGATATAAATGACAAAAAGTAAAGGGCCAAGGATACTACCCTGTGGAACACCATGCCTCACAAGAGCAGAGTCAGATGTCACATTATCAAGAGCAATAAATTGATGTCTATCAGTCAAGTATGAACTAAACCATTTACGTGCAACTGGAGTTAAACCATAGGCATTCAGCTTTTGCAAAAGAATTTCGCGGTCAACCATATCAAAAGCTTTCCTGTAATCAACTAAAAGAAGACCTGTGTCTAGAAAACAACGAAACATTATATTCTTCGTAACTTTCTTTTATAGACCGGTCTAGATGCCGGTCTAGACGGGAAAATCTAGACCGCTTTCAACATTGATTTCAGCCAATCAAATTCGTGAATTCGGTAGTTCCCAGTCCTTGTGAGACACAGCCATATAATAATAAGAAATACAAATGATATCGTAAAAACAATGATATCTTAAAACAATACCCAAACACTAATAAAGATCTAGCATTCAAAAGAATTAAAATTCAGTTGTGTAGTAATCGTCCAAGTGGGAATGGACTAGAATTCAACAAAAAATTCTCTCTTGATTCTGATGATGACTTCTGCTCAGGCATCTGAAACAACAGTCAGTGTCACTAAAAACACTTGAGTCTACTCTCATCCAGACGATCAAACCACACAATCATCTGTGACTCCTGGGTTCAAACAAAACATTGAAGTAAGAACATATTTTACAGTCATAATGATATGATAACCTCAGCAATGTAGAAACCTTGATAATAATAATATAATATTTTGTGAGCCTAAAACTCGAAACAGGTTCAACTTTGGAAACTAAGAAAAGTATGCTACAATATTTGCATATCGTTGAAAAAATATATGTATTATAAACATGTCTTGAAAAATATATTAAAACTGATTATAGTTTCATTGAGATTTGATCACAATCTATTATAGACTATCAATCAAAATAAATTCCAGGTCATGGAAGAAAAAAATAATCAGGATGAGCAGTTACCGCTATAGCAATAAACTTTAACTCCTAAGAAAATATGAGTTCGTTTGACATCTCTTAAAGAAGCTAACAGCTCAGGTAGAAATAAGACCTGGCTACAAATAAGAAACTAAAGACTGAGAAAAGAGACTTTTTTTGACCATCCTATATTTTGCTGCCCAAAAGTCGAAATTTCTTCCCGCAAAATAAAAAAAAAATTCTCGCAGTCTTGTACAGTATTGTTTATTTAATATTTCCAGTCGAATTTATTATTCGAGTTTTATTTTCGATGTTATGCACAGCAGAACGTTTTGGCCTTTAAAACCACTGCAACATTCAGCTATTTCTGTGACAGCAATCGTTCAATAACGCACAAACTTTCCGCTAAAATATTCATTTAAATCCAGTAATATCGATTTGATTCTTAACTTTTTTAACTACTGAGCTTTATGAAAACTACGATTACATAAGATAAAATAACAGCCACTTTATAATTCATCGTTCGTGAACAGGCATCCCGCGAGCACATTCAGAAAATGACTCACTTGTAAAAACTAACGTCCTCCCTTGCTTTGTAAAAAGTTTACGGCCTCAGTTTTACCATTTTGTTTTGCGATCTTTAATGGTGTGTGGCCTTCCATATCTTCAGATAGAACACTCAAACCAAGTAACAGCATTTTTTCGATGATGGCTACATTACCACCTTTTGAAGCGAAGTGCAGTGAATTTCTTCCAAACTGTCCTTTCACAAAGGGATCAGCTCCCTTGTCTAACAGATGACTTACCGCCTCAACCTTGCCCTTCCCTACAGCGAGTATCAAGGGTGTGTCGCCGTTCTCATCTTTTGAATCCACATCAAGACCACGTGACATTATTGTCTCGATGATGGCGACATTACCACCACGAGAAGCGAGGTGCAGGGAATTTCTTCCAAACTGTCCTTTCACAAAGGGATCAGCTCCCTTGTCTAACAGATAATTTACCGCCTCAACCTTATCACTCAGTGCAGCCAATATCAAAGGTGTGTCGCCGTTCCCATCTTTTGAATCCACATCAAGACCACGTGACATTATTGTTTCGATGATGGCGACATTACCACCTTGGGAAGCAGCGTGCAGTAAATTTCTTCCAAACCGTGCTTTAACAAAGGGATCAGCTCCCTTGTCTAACAGATAGTTTACCGCCTCAACCTTGCCATTCACTACTGCGAATATCAAGGGTGTGTTGCCGTTATCATCTTTTGAATCCACATGAACACCACGTGACATTATTGTCTCGATGAGGGCGACATTAC